GACATACTACTCCTCTACCAATGTGGGACAATACTACACTATATACATGCTGTAAATTAACATACATAATGTAGTCTTGTCCCACATTGGAATAGGAGTAATATGTCCATATAGAGTATAGCTATAAATAAGGACCTCTTGTATTGTATTGTGTATCTAATATCAATAATATATTTTCTCCCGTGCTTTCTCACAAGCTTTATATAACATCTGGAATGATGGATTATAATATGGAAGAGATGCCTCCTCCAAATGATTTATTAGCAAATAATGAAACCCAAGTGTCTTAGATGCAGTACACTAAATTTGCAACTTTTGAGTAAAAGCATTCTTCAAATGGTTTATCAGCAGTAACACTTGTAGCTTTTCACTATCTAATGTAGGATCTTAGACAAGATTGTATGACTACTTATTTCAAATTCAGTATATATGACTAGCAAAATCGGTGGCTTTTTGATAGTGGTTATCACTTTGTGTTGACAACGGCTAATATGATTCTTAATTTGTTCAGCAAGTATGTCAACAGCTTCATGTTTTATGGTCAGCTCCATTTCGTATGGTCATCGCCATGGTTTTACTTTACCAGCAACTAGGTCTGGCTTCACTTCTTGGTGCTCTTATGCTAGTATTGATGATCCCAATGCAGGTAAATAAAGATCTATTCGTCCTCCAAGTCTGAATTATTTTTGGCAATAAGTGGCTTCATTATCTAATCTTTACTTAAAATGGCTTTTCGCAGTGGTGCTTATTAATACTATTTTCCTGCTATAGTCTTGCCACTACCTTCTTGCATTATTTAATATTGAAACCAAAAGTCGTCTTTTGTTTGCACATTGGCAAAATTTGATGAAAGATCGTGCTAGAAGAAAGTAGTACTGATAAGAAGAGGACAGCTTCATCTCTCTAAACCAAGATTCCACTGAATGGATCATATTTTTCTGATCTTGTTGGAAATACGTCAAAGGGATATCATTAGATGGACAATTCTCTTAATTTCTATGCTTATTTTGTTGTAGCCTATTTGTTCTTTTTGGATAGTGAATGTTTCAAATTACAAGCATAGTCACCAATGGCTTGCCACCTTGTATACAACTAGATAAAGGAGACTCTAAACGGTGATAAAATGAGTGTTATAAAAAGTAATATTGAGTTATGTAAAGTCCTACATTGGGTATACAAGGGCGCCTAAGGGGGTTCATACATGTCTTCAGTTACTCCACTCATTACCTTAAGGTTCTGAGTTTGATGCTTAAATTCTTTAACATGGTATCAACAAAGCTATAGTTGAGGTTCACGAGGTCTTATCATTTGGCTTTTGGTACTCTGTATCTAGCAGGAATATTCAATTTCACCAGGTTCATATCGGAGAGGATTGGTTTTTCAATAGGGAAAGAGACAGGGGCGAGGGAGTTGGTTGTAATTGAGACACGTTTTTCGGATGGACTACATTGATTTTTTCGAGATACTTAACCACTTTTTCAGCCATGAGAGGGAAATCATCTAGTACCGCTGGCTCCCCAATCTTTGGCATGTTTATTCTCACACTTGTAAATTTGCATTAGCTTAAATTTCTTCTCCTACTCCAAACGTTTCAGTCTTCGAGATGGCAGACTTTTGTGAATTGCTCACCTTTATGATTTATGCTGCTACACTCCAAGCAGCAGTATCACGACCCAATTTTGGGCCATAACCATTGACTGGCGCTAAGTGAAGCTTGGCTCACCTAGAAAGTCTACGCATTTCCATGATGAGAATCCGGCTGAGTGTCCTCTGTATCGGGAGCACTCCAAAAATTCCTTTATCAACCAACCAAACATCCCAACTCTTATAATATTGCAAGCATCTTCATTCACAAACTAAAGATACCAAAACTTTCATGACCCAAAATCCAACCTGCATGACTAGCACTCAAGCATCCCCATGTCGAGCAAACCACAAAATAAACAACACTATTCGCAACCCAAAATGACACCAAGTCTAATGAAATGTCATACACATAAATATAGAATCTGTTAAATCATATTACAACATGGAAGCCAAATTATGAGCTTCTAAGAGTAGAATAAATACAACAATTATGGCGTATGATGTGGCATATGCTCAAAGTTGACTGGGTAATACTTTGTTGTTAAAGACATGCTATCTTGGAGAAAGTAGAGGCTGGGAAGTGGAGCATAGAAGTAGAGCTTTACTTTTTTCTAATTACATTTTTGGAACACCCTATAAGTGTAAATTATAGGGTGTTTTTCATTGCAAATCATGTTTTTTGTATGAGATACTATTCTTCTTTATACATCTTTTATGCACGAATTTCCTTTTCAATCAATAAATTTGATTACTTCATGAAAAAAGTTCACACAGCACTACTAAATTATAGATCAGAAACTTGATTTTTATTACTCAATCTTAGTCATTTCAAATTGTTATCAAGCATTACAGCGCTATGCAATTTCCTTGTTCAACTAATCTCTAAAACATATGTGTTTATCCTTTTGGCGCAGACGATTATTGTAAGCAATATGCGAAAACTATCTAAAGAAGGATTGCAACATACTGACAAAAGGGTTGGTCTAACTAATGAATTACTTGCTGCAATGGATGTAGTAAAGTATGATTCTTTCCACTTTATCTGTATTCCTTCTTTTTTCAGAAAATTTGAGAATGGATTTTATTTTGTNGGATTGCAACATACTGACAAAAGGGTTGGTCTAACTAATGAATTACTTGCTGCAATGGATGTAGTAAAGTATGATTCTTTCCACTTTATCTGTATTCCTTCTTTTTTCAGAAAATTTGAGAATGGATTTGATTTTGTGCTGATCGATATAGATGTTATGCATGGGAGAAGAGCTTCCAATCTAAAGTCCAGGGAATGAGGAATGATGAACTATCTTGGTTCAGGAAAGCACAACTATTGGCAGCGGTATGCTATCGCTTGTGCATAGAATAAACTAATCTTGGTCTCAACAAAGTCTTTTTCTATTACAGTGACACCTCAGTATTTGGTCCCTTACATACCTCATGTTTTCGTTGGAATAATATGATCCAGTCATTGCCAAGCTTTTCCAGAAAGCCTGATCAAGCTTTAAAAGAATTCTAACTTTGAAGATTTTTATATAAAGTTTTCTTGTCTAGGTCAGTTTAATTAGACACTTCTGGAGCTATATCCACAGGCCACAGAATCAGCACAAACCAAAACTGGAATCAACTAGTGGGTTAGCATGTGAAAAATAGGACGTGGTAGAGGAACAGTGAACCAGAATTATCTCTTAGTGGGATTAGGTTTTTCATAATGATGGCGTGACATGTTTTCTGCGTAATGATAGGAAACCATGACTCAAATGACATTGCATATTTTGCTTGAGATGCAAGAATCAGATCACTTTTTGCTCATTGTTTTTTTTTTCTTCCCTTTATCAACAGTTCAACAATTTCATGCTGAACAGCATCCCAGTTCTCGTAACAGTGATTTCATTTGGAGCTTTCACTTTGCTTGGTGGAAATTTGACAGCTGCCAGAGCTTTTACATCACTTTCCCTCTTTGCAATTCTGAGGTTCCCGTTGAACATGCTTCCGAACATAATAACTCAGGTTCTTATTCTTAGCTTACTGTTTTTGACCTTTCTTATAACAACAACAACAACAACCCAGCATAATACCATTAGTGGGGTTTGGGGAGGGTAGTGTGTACGCAGACCTTACCCCTACCCTGGGGTAGAGAGGCTGTTTCCGATAGACCCTCGACTCCCTCCCTCCAAGAACTCCCCACCTTGCTCTTGGGGTGACTCGAACTCACAACCTCTTGGTTGGAAGTGGAGGGTGCTTACCACTAGAGTAACCCACTCTTGTCAAAATAGCTACATTGGGTTCTTTCCCTTAATACAGTATTCTTCATACGTCTGTTTAATTCTGGATGCACTATATTCTCCCATCTCTCTCGTGAATCAGCCTAAACATCACTTCAAGTTATTCCCTCTGTGCTTTGTCTATTTGCTAACATTACCCACCGTGAAGAAGATTACGAACAACAATACTCATCTTTATTGAGAAATACACCACATAGGTAAATAGACATCAGTAGCGCAGCCTTCTACATGGAACTCCTATATCATCTAAACTGCTTCTTTGATATCAATGTCATATAAACAATGAGGAAAATATTCTTGAAGAATGTGTGCAAGTGTCTGTTGACTGACTTGCTATGTACTTCTGCAGACGTGGAAGACAATATTATAATTGAATAGACACAATTTCAAGCCTCACAAAGTATTATCATTTTCTACCTATTGCATTCCTTGTGTGTAAATTGACATTTCAAGTTGCTGACATTTGAAGAACAAATGCATGCTAACAAGTTGCATATTTTAGTTCTATTTGAAGATTAGGTGCTTTATATTGTCCGTCTTCTTTCATTTTAACTCCACTCTGTACATTCCTTCCCCGATTCAAGCATTCTCCAAAAGTTCTTCTTTAACTTTGGGAAAAGTTTTCCTGTCGCTGTGAAAACTCCATCTGAAAGGTTTCGATAAAAACTGCTAATGATCATATGCGAATGTGGCTGACCATCTAGGGATTATAGTGGGCTGTCTCGTCATAATACACACTTATGGGATAACATATGACAATTTGGTAAAGTATCCTACCAAGACTCTCGAGAGCCCTCTTTCCCCCTTTCTTTATATAACAAACAATTGAATGAATCGGTGTCGCGGGGCCTAGACAACTATCATGTGTGTATTGTGGCCGACACCTTAAAATAGGTGACTCTTGTATTAATCAAAGTCATCAAGTAACCAAAATATCTCTTCTCTAACTTATTTTATCACACAATAACAACAACCTAGTGTAATCACACAAGTGGGGTTTGGGGAGGGTAATGTGTACTGTCACGACCCAAAACTAACCCTTGTCGTGATGGCGCCTATCGTGGAACTAGGCAAGCCGACTCATTTCCAAAACAAATTGATATTTTCATTTTAAATATAATTTCAAGGTTATTTAACATAAAACCTCCATTTAAAGAGTTCAAATCAAAGAAAAACAGAAGTGCGAAAAAGAAAAGCCCGACATCGGGGTGTCACTAGTCATGAGCATCTACTACAATCTGTCTAACAATATCAAGGCTAACTCAGCCCGGAAAATATCTAAATACAACTAGAGGAAGATAAGAGAGAGAAGAGCAGGGGCTGCGATCGCCAAACAACTACCTTGCTATCTTCAAGAAAATCTGCAACCAGAA